GGCAGCTCTGTGCTCTTATTGATCAACACCTGTAGTAGCTGAGCCCTGAGCTATGCAGAAAATTTCCCGGGTGGGGCACCACAGTGTTTACTAAGAAGCTAAGCAGGGCTCAGCCTGAAACAACACTTCTTTCCATAACTTGCATGTAAAACATCTTATGCCACACAGACCAAGCATTTGTGAAGTACCCATGTAACGCCAGGCTTGGTACCAGGTACAGTGGTGCCATATCTCATTCAAGCATTATGTTCTACACTAAATGTGGAAGATGCAAATAGCATGAAGTCAAAATTACCATAACATACGCATATGTATATGTATACACACACACACACCTACCTATATGTGTCGATGCATTTATATATAATGGATAAAATATCAACTACGCATAATAAAGGGCATATATATTTATAAATAAAATAATTTACCAGTTTAAATTTATATTTAATTGAATTACACTGTATCTATCAAGAACCAGATTAAATCACACTTGAGCAATACTGGAGGATTTTGTTGGAATTCAGTCATATCTGAGTCTGAGACACTTCTCAGCAGAACATTTGTGATGGGGGCTCTGACTTGTGTGCTTTGCCCTCACAATGGATCTTTGACTCCCTGCTACCATCATTACCATATCTGGTAGTTAAATACTATACTCTCAAACCTGTGGACCACAGATCAGGCATTTATAAGTACACAGAAGTTGGGTTGGCTATGGGTTTTATTTCCTTCCTTCCTTCCCCCAAAAGAGCACAGCAAGGAAATTTATTTCTTCTTAGAATTTGAGAGGATTGCTGAGGCTTTGAACCATACCCCACAATATTGGGTTAAAAAATTCACTTTTCTTTATTTGTCACAATTAAATAAACTCTACTCTCCTGCCTGGCTGATGAAAAATTCCATCCCATTGTTAAAGTATAATTTTCCAAAAAATGACATAAGAATGCTAAGGCAAATATGAAATGAACACATATCAAAGATTTATTCAACTCATTAATTACTGAGAGAAATAGTAAGGTGTTAAAACCAGCCCAAAGAACATTTGAAAAGATAGGTATTCATAGCCAAGTTAATAAAGGCAGGTTAGGACAGGCTGCCTACAAAGATCCTTAATGTCCAACAGGGTGATAAACCATAACCTTTGAGATGATCTGTTCCACTGATTGGAAGTAATTTGCATTTCTACTGAAAAAAATCTGCATGACAGCATATAGCTTCACTGAGTCTGGGACCTCTAATCAGTAGCAAACTATGAGTTAAAGAACATGCATTTGCCTAATCCCTGGATGGGCCTGCACCTCCACGTGACACTGAAAAAGCAAGCTACCCACCTTTCACTTTATATCCAAATTTTGAGTAATTTTTATTAATAATCATCATTACTGAGTCTCTTTCTCCCATGCAAAAATCATGGAACTTCTTAGAAGCCAGGAAATAGAAAAAAGACCAGGCGTTTGGCCCACTGAGACATCATTTTTACCAGGGTCTTTCTGTGACCTAATCTTGATGTTTTGTTCAGGCCTGTACCTTGGATTGCCTCAGTGTGAGGGACAGACCCTAGGATCATCCCTAATGACCACTGCCTTCTAGTATCCCTGTCTTTGCATAATTCCCTCCCCTTGAGTGGGGGTGGAATCCATACCTTTCCTCTAGCCAATAGAATATTGCAAAGCTGAACTGACTCTGCAGGTGTAATTAAAGTTGCAAGCCAATTGATTTTGAGTAAAAGGAAGTTTTCCAGGATGGGCCTTAATTAATCAGGTGAGTTTGAATTAATCAAAGCCCTTAAAAGGGAGACTGAATCTGTCACATAAGCTGCTTCCTCTTACATTCTGGAAGACAATGGAAGCCGCAGACTTGTCACTAGTCAAGGAACCAGCTTTGTGCCCTGATATCAGCCAGTCATTGGCTCTGGGCTGCCCCCACAGTGGGGGAAGGGGCAGAATCTCCAAGCATTTCTGGGCAAAGCAGCTCCTGTTGTTTGAGCTGATTCTCTTGACAGGAAGCCTGGGGGCAGCTCTGTGCTCTTACTGATCAACACCTGTAGTAGCTGAGCCCTGAGTTATGCAGAAAATTTCCTGGGTGGGGCACCACAGTATTTACTAAGAAGCTAAGCAGGGCTCAGCCTGAAACAGCTTTACATCTGGGACCAGCATGTAACTTTCCTTCTATCACTTTGGAAGCCCTCTGCCATAGACTGGGCTCTCAGACCACTAAACTGTTTCCTAGAGAATGGGAAAATAAGCAAATCAGTCAAAATCTGCTTTCTTTTCCCATTTTCACAAATGTAATCCATATTATCCCAGGTTCATCAGAAACCTGAGGGTAAGGCTGACGGTGTGTGCTACATCATTTTATTAGGATATATAACACCAGGGGAGAGGAGCAAGAAGCAGAAAGAGTCAAGAAGGGAAGGAGGGAGAGCAGATAGGAGGTCACTGCCACTAGGGAAACTATATAACCAATCATGGACCAGAGCCTTCGGGAATCCATTATCAGTTACATCCCAAAGCTGGGATGTGATGGTGGCTGGGTGCAGTGAGAAAGAAGAAATCATCTAACCAGTGGCTCCCCTCTCCAATGGTCCAAAGGCCAGTTTCCAGGGGAAGGCTGGTGGGGAAGGGACAGCGTCAATCCACCCATGGGGGCACCACTTCCAACACCCAGCAGTGGAGACACCAGAGAGAATGTGACCCTCACCTCTTTCTCCTTTCTGCCTTTTTCAACAGGTTTAGTGTCCTAACTTCCCACAGTCACTGACTGTGACTTCATCTATGCCCTAATTCTTTGTAAGAATTTAGCAGCACTCTTATCTTAAAAAAGAAAGAAAAAGGAAGAAATTAGGGAAGTCAGCATTTCCCTTGCCTTTTCAAAATAACAGAACTGAGCTGAGCTTCTCTGGCTGTGATCTTCCAGGACATTTTAGCCTCCATGAAACTCTATTCCAGGATCTAGGGTCAGAACCATTTCCTGTGAATCTGCGCAGCTGAGATTTGCCCCAATCATGATGTGAAGGGAAGCATAATCTTCTTCCCATAAAGAAGTTCTATACAGACAAGGAATATAAGGCAGTTCAATTACATTATAATTGACTCTAATTGGCCCTCCCACAGGCTGTTAAATTCTTATCTGCAGCCTGGTAGCACATTAGAACGCTGTAACACCTCTATCCTGCACTGAAGAGCACAATAGAAATGTTAAAACAACAACAACAACAACAAAAAAAACCCACCACTAAGCAGCTGAGCTTGGAAAAAGAGAGCTCCAGTGAGGTCAATAAAATGGCAGCCATTTTTGGAGCGTTTCAAAGAGCTCCCTGGAGGGAATGTGACACTTCTGACTGCCTTCTAAATGCGGAGAGGGAAAAAAAAAGTTCTCGAGGGATTATTATCAAGCACTAAGAGAACTTCTTAAATTAACATATCTTCCAAGAAACTTCTCTACTTTCCTTCATTTGTGCAGTGCGCATTGACTTCAGCCAGGTGCCAGGCACTGAATTAGGACTGGAGATACGGAGTGCAGATGACGTATGTGGAGTCCAGCGCAGGAGAGGAGGTTCAGTTAAGATGACGCCAGGACCCATGGAATGTGGAAGGGTAGGGCGAGAGTGGGTGCAGAGAACCAGGCAGGTGGGCTCCCGGTGGTGGAAAGAACAAGAGTAAAGCGCTACACTCAGAGTGGACACAGCTGGAATGAGCTCCTGGAAAACAGGAAGCAATCCCCCCCAGCCCCCACACGCACGCACACACACACACACACACACACACACACACACACACACACACTTTTGTCTTCCAGAATGGCCTCCGGCAAAGAAGCACCTCCTCCATAAAACTTAGAGAAAACTCAAGATGACCTCCTTGTTTATCTAGACAAAGCCAGACACAGACCCTCCAAATTTCCCATCCTGAGAATCGATGTCTTCAAGGTAAAACACCCTCAGTTCTATTGTCCTGCTATGCCCTGCCCTTCCTCCCACTTCCCACATCCAGCCCTTCCTAGAGCTGAGTTCACTCTTCTCTGTAAAAGAAAAGTCCTTTTTGCTTAACCCTGAAGATGCTGGCAGACCTTATGGACAGAACCTCCTCCCCGTTGCGGCAGCCCTTTTCCCCCTGCCTTGCAATCATCCTTTAGAGTAAAGCCTCCCCTTACTAAGTCCTGACTTGTTCTCTCTTTGACACGAGTAAGCATCTGTGCCAGTGGTTCTTAATACTGATCGCAGTTCTTAAACTTGAGCTCAATCGGAATCCCCTGGAAGCAAGCCTTCTTATGACACAGGATGCTGGGCCAGAGCTGCTGATTCAGTTCAGTAGGGCTTGGGTGGGCCCTAGAATCTGCATTTCTAACAAGTTCCTCAGGGATGCTGATGTGCTGATGCTTAAGAACCACTGATAAAGAACTGGACAGGGAGAGCAAGTGACAGGGCTGCCAGAGAATTAGAGGCCACAACATGAAGCACCACAGGGTTTACGCTTTGATGTCACTGACGAAGGGTGGAAACAAGAAGACACCTAATCACACCTGCCCCTTTGGAAAATCCCTCTGTCTGAAGCTTGGAGAACAAACTGGAAGGGGTAAGAATCAGGGCAGAAGGTCTATAAGGAAACTGTTGCATGATCCTGGTGAGAAATGATGGTGGCCTGGGTGGAGGTGGGGTGTGGAGCTGATTGACTGGAGAGAAGCAGATTCAAGTGGAATTCAGGTAACAGCACGCACAGGACACAGTGGCTGACTGAGGTGGGCCATGAGGAAGAGGAGGGAGTCCCCCATGATCCCTGGCTTCCCAGCAGTAAATGGACCCTGTTATTATGAAAGGAAAGCAGGAAGGAGGAAAAGCTTGAGAGGGAAAGCTGAAGCTGTTATCATCTGGAGTTCAGTCTGTTGGAGAGACCTGGAGTGAGGATGTCCAGTATGCAACTGGATAGAGGGTTCTAGAATGTCAGAGTCTGGTCCACGACAGAAAAAGGTTCTAGAATGTCAGAGTCTGGTCCACAACAGAAAAAGGTTTAGGAATCTTCAGGTGAAGATTCCATGTCAGAGAGAGGACACAGAGTAAGAAGAAAACAGGAGCATGTAAGGAAGCCTGGGGAAAAGGAGGTAGACAGAGGACTGATGCCAACAGCCAGCCCTCAGGGGCCCTAGCATGTTTGTCTCAGTCCTTCCTCAACAGTCTTATAATGCTCACATTCCTCTCAGAATTACTCGGGACTCAACTGTCTTTCCTCCACTAGACTACTACAACTGGAGAACACAGCTGTTCAATAGCAGTTTTGCCAGTTGTCCCATATTGATTCTGATACCAAGTCCAATGTGTGTGTATGTGGGCAGGGGGTAGAGGGACCCCCACACCACCAAGCAAATCTCTACCAGCTGTGTGTCCTCCCATTCAACTCAATTTGACTACCCAGAGATAACATCAGATTCCACAGGTTAAGGGCTCAGTCCCAGAAGACTGTCACTTCCTCTAATTTCAGATACCAATTGCAAGTCCAGGGTGTTACCTGGATTTCTGACAGACTTCTGACCAAGTGGCTGTAAGGCAGAGGTTCCCATGAACCCCTTCTTGGGGTTGATCAACATTTCAATCCAGCTCACAGAATTCAGGAAACTTGTTTACTCACAAGATTACCAGTTTACTGCAAAGGATATGAAAGGACAGGAATCACTACCTAGAAGAAGAGATACAAAGGGCAAGGTCCCGAACAAAGGAACTTCTGTCCTTGTGGAGTTTGGGGCCTGGCTCAGTGGCACATGGCAGTGTTCTGGTTCCCCAACCTGGAAGCTCTCCAAACCCCTCCTTTTGGGTTTTTATACAGGCTTCATTACATAGAAAAGATGATTAAATCGTTGACCACTAGTGATGTATTCAACCTCCAGCCTCTCTCCCTTCCCCAGAAGTCAGGGGATGGCACTGAAATTTCCAACCCTCTAATCTCATGGCTGGCTCCACAGACAACCAGCACCTATCCTTAGGTGCCTTCCAAAAGTCATCTTATTAATACGACAGAAGACACATTTATTGCTTTCCTCATTTAGGAAATTCCAAGGGTTTTAGGAGCTCTGTGCCAGAAATGGGAACAAAGACCATATATTTCTTATTATAAATCATAATATCACATCCCATCTAGTGTTTCTTTTTCTTGGAAAACGTATTTGACATAACCAACCATATTAATTTGTCAGTTTGTTTTTAACATCTAGAAAGAAAGCAGATGACAAATATCAGAAATGGCTTCTCCCTTCACTCCTTTCCTCTAGCATCATTAAACAAATTGAAAAGTGACAGATGATGGACTGACCCAAGGAGGAAGACCCTGCCTACCAGGCCCAAAGTAGGCATGCAAATGGAGAATTCACACTTGCAAATGGTGCTCAAGATCCACCATATTGACTTCTTTAAAGGAAATAAAATGTAGCACTGTGCCCCAGAAATTGTTTGTCATATGGTTGTGCATATTTATAGAGAGACTGTTATATTTTTAGTTGGAGAGAGGTGGGTTTTTTCTCAGTTTCTATGGTAAATCACTTCTAAAGTCTGCATTTGTATGATTAAAGTAATAACGTTGAATTGGCCAATTTGCCCAAGTAGGAAATGCACCGAATTGCCAGGATTTAAAATACATACACTCTTTATAAGCAGAACCACAAGAATGGAACAAAATGGAAGACTTTTTTTTTTTATTTAATTACCATCTTCAGACATGTAGTTAAAGTCCCCAAATTCCGCCTGTCTCCCAACTGTATAGTTCCCTGGAGTGGTCTGTGTGCACTCAGCTTGGGAGAGTGGGAAACAGGATCTTTCCCCTTAGGACTCAGCTCATCTTAGATCCATGCTCTCTACTATGGGACCCACAAGCCATGCATGGTTACTTGAAATATGGTGAGTCCAGACTAAGAGGTGCTGTGTCAAATACACACTGAATTAGAAAGAATGTTTTTGATATTTGGGGTTGAATAAAATATGTAATTTTTAAAAATCTTTTCACTGAGTGTAAGTTTGTTAGAGCTGCTGGTAATAATGTACCACTAACTGAGGGTCTTAAACAAGAGATTCACTGTTTCACAGTCCTAGAGGCTAGAAGTCCAAGATCAAGGTGTTGGCTAGATTGGTTCCTTCAGGGGGCTGTGAAGGAAGAAAGGTTTGTCCAGGCCTTCTTCCTTGGCTTACAGATGGCTGACTTCTCACTGAGGTCCCTTCACATCTTCTTCCTTCTATGCCTGTGTCCGAATTTGTAATTTTTCTAAGGATAACTGTCATACTGGATTAGTACAAACTCTAATGACCTCATTTTAACTTGATACCCTCTTTAAATACCCTATCTCCAAATCAGGTCACCTTCTGAGGTACTGGGGTTAGGACTCCAACATCTTTTTTTGGAGAAGACACAATTCAACCCATAAAATACTGTTTACTCTTCCTTTTGTTAAAAAGTGGCTATGAGAGGGTGCCTGGGTGGCTCAGTTGGTTAAGCGACTGCCTTCGGCTCAGGTCATGATCCTGGAGTCCCGGGATCGAGTCCCTCATCGGGCTCCCTGCTCAGCAGGGAGTCTGCTTCTCCCTCTGACCCTGCCCCCTCTCATGCTCTCTCTATCTCATTCTCTCTCTCAAATAAATAAAATCTTAAAAAAAAAAAAAGTGGCTATGAGAAAACATAAAATTACATATACAGCCCCCATTATTTTTCTAGTGGACAGCATGGCTCCAGAATTAATTCTGTCCCCCAGTCTGGAGCGGGGAGGGAAGCTGTGGAGGAAATGCAGTTTTGAGCTTTCCTGGGATGCCTATCATCTAATAGCTTACTGGCCTGTTGAATGACATAATCATGGTTCCCATAATTCTGTGAGAAGTCTGAACGTAAGTTGACCTTGGAATGCCATCATACTGAGAATAAACAGAAGTTTCTTTATTCCTTTTATTCTGTTGGATTTGGCTACAGAGAGTGGAGCCCACTTCGTTCATGCATTCATCCACTGATTCATTCACTCATCCATCCAGTTGTTCATTCACTCACTCATTCACTTATTCATATTACATTTCATTTTTTTGGAGGCCTACAGTTGGTGCCTGCAGAATATCTTAGAGATTTTCTTGACTAAAATAAGAGTTTGGTCATGGCAGCTGAGGAAGATAGATTTTTAAATAGGAGGGTAGACAGCAATCTGAGCTACAGAGAGAAACAGAAAAGAGGTCAGGAAATGGAGGGACATAGGAGAGCAAGAAACAGAGACCGATAATCAGGTTCTGTCCAAGGATTTCCTCTTATTTCTTATGGATGGTAAGGTATTTTTTAAGGAAAGTCTGCCCAGAAGTTAGATGTGAACTCTTCTCACTATGCATAGTTCCTGTCAGCACTTCTTGGCACCTCATTAGCATTCAAGGCCTGTGGGAATTTCTGCTCTGCCACCAGTAAAAAAAAAAAAAAAAAGAAAAGAAAAGAAAAAAATAACAGCATTGAATTAATGGTTAGGAGGGAGTTGTTACCAATTCTTCTTCTTTTTTTACCAACTCAGGGAGCAAAGTTATTCTAATTTAGCAAAGGCATGGGAGGTGAGCATGATAGTGATGGGGTTCAGGACATGCTACCCCAAAATATGGCACCTTGGCATACTGAATATTTTTAGCTGAAGGAGTTTGAGAAAATAGCAGAAGCAGGAAGGTCACTCTGACCTTTCCCCAAGTTCTGTCCTGAAACTGGTCATAAAACTCTCATGTAAGAGGTGCCCTACCTACACCCAGAAGAAAGGAACATCCTTATCTCCTAAGACAAAGACACGCTGAGAAGAATCTGAACAAACCAGCCTTGCTAAACCTCCCCCAGTTTGCTATGCTATTTCTTACGTGACTGTCTACTCTTCATCAAACCTAACATAAAAATGCCCTGGTTTTACTGTTTCTTTGGCTCATTTCCTTCTGAAGCCTCCCTTACCACGTAAAATTTATATTGAATAAGTTTGTATGCTTTTCTTCTGCTAATCAGTCTTTGTCAATTTAATTTTCAGACCTAGCCAGGGATCCTAAGAGGGTTAGGGAAACGTTTTTCCTCCCCTGCAATAGATTCTTGAAAAGTACAGAAGTCTGATTTTCTTTTTGGCTGAATTGACACTAAGTTGTCTCCTGTGTAAAAATCACATGTGGGCTCTCTCCCTGTATGCACAGAATGAAGTCTTTTTAACAAGGTTCTGTTGAGTTGTTTGCATCTCCTAAAAGAACCCCATGGAGACTGAGTTATTCAGAACTAAAATTAACTGAGCCCCTCACTTTCCAGATTCATAATAACCCTGTGCAGCACAGGGAGCGATTGGTAGGCATCTTAATCTCTCTGGATTGACCTCTTTGCCATTCTCCTTATCACTATGGCAGAGCACATTTTCTTCCCAGGGAGGAAACGCAAAACTATTCCAAGTCGGCAGAATTGCCCGGAGGAGATAAGACTGCACTGTATTAACCTTCCCACCCAATATGCTCCCAGCTCCAAGAGGAGGGAAAATAAGACTCAAATTAATTTGGGTTATTACTGACATACTTAGGGTGGCTCACAGATTTCAGATTGATTCTCCTCTCTCAGGTCTGGACATCTCCAGCAAAGCTTTCTCTGGGACAAAGGGGCAGGTAGGTCATGCAGATTATTTCTGACTGTCAAAGAGTCAGGAGACAAATGCATCTTGCGGTAACTGTCAGCCACATGACTTTCTCAAATGCTTACATGAAAGCATTTTAAAGGTAGACCACAACAGGAGGTCCTAAGTAGACCATGGAAGAAGGACTTGGCAGATATAATTGGTCACATGTAAATGCCACCCTGGGACCTAGTAAAGCTGAATTAGCCATAAATCATTTGGGCAATAATATATTTAGCTTTTACTCGGTGAATTCATAAAAGAAAAAGGACATAGTATCTCCCAAACCAGAAATAGGAAAAAATAAAATGAATGCCTTATGCTTCTCCCTATATTATCAAATGTAATGGGAATATTGAAAAGTTGTCAATCTAGACACTTTGTACTAGTGCTTATCATTTTTTGCTGTAGTTCATTGAGATCCATCTTTCTAACATATCCTTGTTCTAAGGCTCTTTGTGTGAGAACTGTACTTCTTACAATTAAATTCCTGCCAATTCCTGTTTAAGATCATGTGTGGTAGCGTCATATTTCATTTAATTGATTTAAATTAAATTTAATTAATGACCTCTGTGCATGTACACCCTTTATCCTGTAGCCTCCTAGCCCCTCCCATTCTCTCTCGCTGGGCTTGGCCATCTGACTTGTAGAGGCCAATGGAAAGTGAGCAATGGGAGGAAAGCAGAGGCATGAAGAACACTTGCCCATTTCTACTTCTTCCCTGCTTCTCTGCAATTTCCTGTGACAACAGGCACACACAGGCTGGCGTCACGTTTGGGGAGGAGACCTGACTCATTTCAGCAGAGGCCCCTGTTGGACCAGCCAGGCCCAGTCAACCTGCCAGTACCCCTCAGAAAATAAGCAGGCCAACTCAAACCAGCCAGTCTCCCAGTACCCGCAGGTTTGTGAGAATTAAAACAAAAAAAGATTAATGCTTTAAAGTCACTGAGTTTGGGGTGATTGTAATGCAGCATTGTTGTGGCATAGCCGAGAGGAAGGGAAGGAGATAAATGAATACTTGATTTTTTTTCTTTTTTGCCAGATAAGAACTAACAATACATTTTGCTAAAGGAGTACAAATACATCTTGCCATTGAAGAAATAATTTGCCATTTGACAATTCTATGCCTCATGCCAAAAACTGACATTTCCAAAAACTTGGCGTGGAGGCTGGGAATACTGGAGGAACTGTCCTGCTCCTTCCCCGAGTTCTGTAGGTGTCCAGGCAGTAGGCTGTCCTCTGGGCCTTAGAGGTATGACAGGATCAATGTCTTGCCTCCTGCAGAAAGCAAGGTTTCCTCTCCTGGATTTCTGACAGCCTGATCTCAAGCTAATCCCACATGGGCTCCAAGAAATCAAGTTTGTATGCTTGATATTGTATTAATTGTTTTCCTCCAAAGCTGTAATAAATTTGCCTTTCTCTTGTCTTAGAAAGTGTAGGTGTGAAACTTCTAAGGTGAAAGAATGTTGATGATCATCTAGTCAAACAATTTTCTTATCTGCAGAAGGATCTATCTTTCCCAAAAGAAAATACCTGGGCACTGGTAATTAATTTTCTTTAAAGGGAATAAAGCAGAGTTTCCCTGTTTGAGGCAGGTTAAGGGGAGCAGAGTGAAGGAAACCTCTCTCCTAACACTCTTCTCTTTCCTTCCCCCACATCCCTAGAGGAGCCCTATGGCACCATAGACACCCCCTGGATCAGAGCTCCTCAAACTTTCACAAATACAGGAATAACCTGGAGTCTTGTTAAAATCCAGATTCAATATCTTTGGATTGGGGCCTTTGGATTGGGGCCTGAGATTCTAATTTCTCACA